CAGCGAGGAACAAATTCTACATTCGTACCCGTAGGTACAAATATCACCCCTGCTTCAAATGTTTCATCTGTACCTACTTCCTTCGCTGCTAACAATGTTCAGCGAGTTAATGGAGCTACCTATGCTGCTATTGCAGCGGGTAGAAATCAAAATACTAACCAACGTTCTAACGGAAATTTTGACAATTTTGACTTAGGAAGCATTACTGCTCCTAAAATGGAATTTTTACAGAATTCATTAATTGACATGACTTCTGATATGCTTAAATCTAACTCCATGTTTGATGCTATTCAAACTGGAGTAAAATTTGCAAATAATATTGTCATGACTTTAAAATTCAGTAATGGATTTTAAAGCATTAAATATTGTAAATTGGAATGCTCGATCTCTTAAAGATAATGAAGACGGGCTATTTAACTTTTTGCGAGTTCATAACGTGCATATTGCCGTTATAACTGAAACGTTCCTTAAACCTGACCATAATTTTAAGAAGGACGCAAATTACTTGATTTATAGAAATGATCGTCTTGATGGACCCTGTGGTGGCGTTGCCATCATTATTCATAGACGAATCAAACATAAAATTCTTTCTTCATTTGAAACCAAAGTTTTTGAAACTTTGGGAATTTCTGTTGAAACAAAATTTGGACAACTTACGTTTATAGCTGCCTATTTGCCATTCCAATGCGTAGGCCAGCAAAAGAATTTTCTCAAGGGTGACCTCCAGAAACTTACCCGTCATAGGTCTAAATTCTTCATTATTGGTGATTTTAATGCAAAACACCGCTCATGGAATAATGCTCAAAGCAATTCCAATGGTAATATTCTGTTTGATGATTGTTCTGCAGGTTATTACACTATTCAATATCCAAACAGCCCAACATGCTTTTCTTCTGCAAGAAATCCCTCCACTATTGATTTGGTCTTAACTGATTCATGTCAACTTTGTAGCCAATTGGTTACCCATGCTGACTTCGGTTCTGATCACCTTCCAGTAACTTTTGAAATATCCCAAGAAATAATTTTTAATCCCAACAGCTCTACTTTCACTTACCATAGAGCTGATTGGGAGCAATATCGAACATTTGTGGAATATAACTTCGATCCAAACATTCCCTTGCAAACCAAAGATGAAATTAATTATGCTCTTGAATCTCTGACTACTTCTATAGTTGTAGCAAGAGCTCCCTCAGTACCAAAATGCGAGGTTAAATTCGATTCAATTATAATAGACGACGATCTTCAGCTCTTGATCCGTCTTAAAAATGTCCGTAGGAGACAATTTCAAAGAACACGCGATCCTGCCATGAAAGTTATCTGGCGGGATTTGCAAAAACAAATTAAAAAGCGATTCTCTGCCCTGAGGAACAAAACTTTTGAAAATAATGTTTCTAAATTAGACCCGAGTTCTAAACCCTTTTGGAAACTCACAAAAATTTTGAAAAAACCTCAAAAGCCAATTCCAGCGCTTAAAGAAGGTGGTAAAATTTTGATCACAAATTTGGAAAAAAGCTCAGAAACTTGCTAAGTAATTCGAGAGTTCCCATAATTTCAGTTTGGGTCTTACTAGTCCTATTGAGAATCAGGTTGCTCGGGATTTTCTGAATATTTTCTATCGGGAAAATATTTTAGATGATTCCTGGGGGACTGATTTGGACGAAATAAGGTCTATAACTAAAAAGTTTCATAATATAAAAGCTCCAGGTGATGATGGAATTTTCTATATCCTCATCAAAAAACTCCCAGAGAGTACCTTGTCTTTTTTGGTAAAATTATTTAACAGATGTTTCCATTTGGCATACTTTCCTGATAAATGGAAAAATGCAAAAGTTGTTTCAATTTTGAATTTCGAAAAAAGTAATTGTAGTACCAATTCTAGAGGGGGCTACATTAATCCTAGAGAGATGTAGCCCTCCCTAGTCCCTTCTCTTAGTTATGCCAATGAATATAGTTTATGGAAACAGTTAAAACTAGAAAATATAGGTTTGAAAAGTATGAACGACAATCCCAACCCGATTATCGTAATCATGAGAATAGTAAACATTTAGAAAAATCGTATTCCTTAAAATCAGTTTTATAATTAAAAAAAATTATTTAAATCGGTACCAATAAAACACCATACTGAATTTGAAAGAGTGGGGGAGGGAAGGGGCTGACTAAAGTAATAATAAGCCCCGTAACGTGGGTAGATCACCTTTTCGTGGTACGTTACGGGATGTAAGATCTACCACCGATTCCTAGTCCTAACTTCTTCAAACTAGGGGAACAGGATTTTTCAGTAATCAAAGGAACATATCTTAGTCCTTGTTACTTTTTATGCCTTGTTGATAGTGATAAGTCCTCGGGTTGCCTGGACCGAGGATGATCTTGGAACAAGGAAAAAATGAGCTAGTTAGTCTTCACCTATGTGATTCCTAATCTTCTAATCGTTGTTCCCTAGTTTGAAGTGGTTAAGACTAGGGTTCTGATGCATGGTCATTATCGGTGTCATAGCTTGTTTTTGTTGTTAAGGAATCCAATTTTGACTGACAAAGGGGCGCGCCTTTGGAGGGTGTTCCAACTCCGAAGGGTATAAATAGCGCAACCTTTCAGTTAGAATCGATTCCTTGCGATGAAGGCAAGAATGACAACTGTATCAAAACCGAATACTTCATCATTTCTCAATAGTGATGGAGTAATACGACATGCACTAAACTAAGGACACGGGATATACTACAATAGATCAAATTACTGGTCGCAGTGGTGTTATGTCCCGAACAGAGGAAAAAAAAAAAAGTAATAATAAAGATTTGTTTGGCCTAATTGTCTGGGGACCACGGACTTAGAGAACAATCGAGATAGAGAGAATATCATGGTCTGGATTTGTACGAATCTTAAGGGACTGCTAAAATCATCGAGATAGGGAAGAATACTGAGATACAGAACTTCGAGAAATGGAGAGTTGACTGTACCGTATGCGTGATAATGTTTGCACCATCGTACAAATAAGGTTCCCGTTTCACCTGTGCATACAATGCCTTGGTTTTCTTTGCATGCACGTAACCTATAGCTCATACCGTAGTAGGCTGTGTATAAAAGAAAATGATTTACTTAGTTTGACAGTTGCACCATGACGAAGTGGCAGCGTATTCGTGATTTGTCCCACGCGCAAATGTCGCAAAAAGACATTTCAATCGCCGTGGGAGTGTCCCGGTGGACCGTCAAAAGGGTATTAGACCGAGAAAAGAAAGGTCAACTATCCGCGAAGGTGGCCACAGGTCGTCCGAGGTCAGCTCGGGTTCCGAGGGTTATCGCTGCTATCAAAAGGAAGATTCGGGTGAATCCACTGCGTTCAATAAGGAAAATGGCAAAGGAACACGGGATCAGTGACTTTACGGCACGGAAAATCGTAAAGGAAGATTGCGGGGCGAAGTCGAGGGCACGGACCAAAAACTTACATGATTACCAACCGCATCCGGGAGCTACGAGTCGAGCGATGGAAGAAAATCTTGAATTTCCTTAAGCCAAAAAATCCGGTTATCCTGTTCACCGACGAGAGCATGTTTACCGTCGATCCCGTATCAAATTCCGGAACCAACCGGTATATTAGTTCTCTTCCGGTAAAAGACGTGGCCGGCGAGCACAAGAAGGTGTATCTGATCAAGCATCCTGCTAGCGTTATGGTGTTTGGATTGGTGGCTTCCGATGGAAAAAAAAACATGGACCCGGTGTTCATTCCAGAAGGCGACAAGGTCAACACGGAGGTCTACATCGGGATTTTAAGTAAGTATGTTCTTCCGTGGATCAAAGAACAGTACGGTTCGAAGCCAAATGTTGTATTTTAACAAGATGGGGCTCCGTGCCACACCTCGAACCGCACTCAGAAGTGGTTGCAGGAATATCTTCCGTTCTGGGCAAAGGATATGTGGCCGCCATCAAGCCCCGATCTTAATCCACTGGATTACTCAATATAGCGCGTCATGAAGGCCAAGGCCTGCTCTAAACGTCACCCGAGTACAGCAAGCCTCAGACAAACATTGAACCGACCTGGAGAGAAATGGATCCAGACTACATTATTAGAACCTGCCGTGCATTCCGGAAGCGTGTGGTGGCCTGAATTGCAGCAAGTGAAAACTCGATCGATGATTAACATAGTTTAAGACTCTATGAAACATCTCCCCTTTGAATAAATAAAAAAAACTCAAAAACGAAATTTTTTAGATTTTTTTAATTTTGACATTGCTCAATGGTGCAAACATTATTACGCATACGGTACCTATTTCCAGCATGGCAAGAAAATGTAGAACATCTTTTAGTGAAAATTCCGAGTTTTCGGAAATATGCGCTGAGGCCTGCCTAAGCCGTACGGCACCTAACAGCATTTCAAACGATTAAGCAACAGACAAACCAAGATGTTACATTGCTGCAAAACACCAGACGGTTGCTAGCTTCTCGTCTAGAATATCATAATTTGCAACAATTTTCCCGTTGAGTGCACATCATGCGTACCGAGTTTCAAATGTCTCTCGACTGACACACAATCGTTCTCATACGGGCATAAATTATTTAATTTAGCAAAAAGACCAATCGACACGGGCCGGCATTAGATATTGTGCATTCTAGCTGCGTTTTCTGGCATACATACCTCCATTCGTCGCATCAAATTAACCGGTTACACTGTTTTCTGAATAGCGATGTTCTCACGTTTCTCACGTGTGCGTGGCTGATCCCCACATGAAAGCTCCACTGACTTAGTGCTAGGCTGAATGTATGGAGAAACAAACAATTTGGAACAGGGTGTGACGCTACACGACTGTGTTGCGTTGCAGCGCTGGAAGGGAAGAAGCAACATATTTATGACTGCGATCGTTGGCAACGGTTATCCAGTGCAACGCATGAAAGTGGAGCTTGGGTGTCGAAAGTTTGGAGCTGCGTCATGCAGCTTGCCGTCATTTAGGCGTTGCCTTCAAACTCTGATTAAAGGGAATTTCTTCGGTCGGGTGTTAGTCAAGCAACACAAGTAACAAAAACAGCTTTTATTCGTATTAAAACTTACAACCTAGTCAATTGAAAATAGCTAGCAGGATTTCAACTGCCAATTCCGCTACTCTAACCTATTCGTGCAAGTTAGTTAAAACAAGAAACTTAGATAATAATGATTGGAATGTCACACTAGTCTAGAACACGATAGAAGTAAATCCTACTTACTGAGAACACAAATGAATTTGTTGAGATTCTTGCCACTTGCCGGCACAAACACATTTCACATTTTCTTCTTCTTTTAGCTACACTATGACCGATCTACGCACCACCGAGAACCAACCAGCTCACAAACAGCTCTTGACCGTGTGCTTCGCAATGATATTCTGATAGTAGTAAGTCAGTCCGGAGATTTCCTGGTTGCCTGTCTTGAGCGGAGGACTTTCCAGCTCCAGGACAGCGTCCAGTTTGGCACTGATCGTACTTACATTGCCGCTGTCTTCGCTGGCCGTCGGTGAACTGTGATGCTTGGCGCCCTTGGGTGTGCTCTCTGCCACTGCCACCATGACGTTGTTGTTGTTCCGGATATCGTTCTCGATCTGTTCCAGCTCTTCCGGGGTCAGCGCCAAGGCTAGGTTCTCCCTTCGATTGATCGAGTTCAGAGCGGAGCTTGAACCGGAGCTGATCTCCGGTGAGGACTGGTTCCGACCCGTCGGGGATTGGTGGGGATCGTCCGAGTCGGCTTGTTCACTGTTGGAGGTCGGCGTTAGGCAGCTGTGCTCGGACTCGTCGAAGGAGAGATTGGCAGAGGACGCCGTTATGACGACCCCGGATAGCAGCTTGATCGAAGGAAGGGCTTCCGGGTCGGCATCTTCCGAGGAGTCGTTGTCCAGGGAGCTTCGCTCGGTGGACTCTCCTCCCCACCAGGGCGATGCTCGACACTCGGAAGCCGTGTGGTAGGACGATGATCGAGACTGCGGAGTGCAGGTGCAGTCCGAAGCGGTGACGAAGGATTCGTCCTCGGTGGATTTCACGCTGGAACTCCAGTCCTGGAAGATTAGAGAATGAATTAAAATCCAACATTGATAAAATGCCTTCGAGATATACTCACATCACTATGATTACTGCCGTCGGCCTTCCGATGGGTCATCTCACCCGAAACGTCCGCCACTTCATCGTCCACGTCGTCGAAACCACCCTGGACGTCACGGAGGACGCTGTCCAGCGACTCGGCTATTCGGGAAACTTCCGCCAGACGAGCGGAGATCGCCTCACAGGCCATAATATTGTCCGACTCGGCCAGTACATTTTCCGGGCTTGCCATGCTACGAATTTGACGCAAAAATTATTCTTGAGAAATGCACTTTGGTATTTTACGTATTTTCCTCTGAGTCAGAGCGCGCGAGAGAGATGGGATTTCTGCCGAACAAGTGGTCAGTGACCTTCCCCTTTTTTCTTCGGAACTTAATTCCCCTAAGTTTGAAAAGTTTCACAACAGAAAATCTTCTGAATCCGTGCGTCCCATTCACTCCAAAATAACTCTTCTACTCGTGATGGTGGTCAGCTGGCCACGCTTAAATCATCAATTTAACTATCCACAAGTGACGTCTTTTCTCCCGAATGCAGCTCCAAAAAAGAAAAGCGAGACCAGTAAATTTTCCACAATCCTATTCACGCGGAAAAAAAACCCGATCCGTACACGCGAGAGGGAAAGAATATCGGAGTCTGTCCCTGTGGTCCGAGAGGGAAAATGCGACTGACTGAATTAAAGCAGATTCAAGAACGGCAAAGTCGGGGCCAAGAGTGGCGCTGTGATGTCGGTTGGTAGGTTGGTAGGTAGGTATATATGCAACTTGAACTTACGAACCGGCTAGCGTCGAGGCGCAGCGCTCCGGTCGTTGAAGTTGGCTTGTCTGTCTTGTTTTCCCCATCGTTGGAAATTACATAAAGCTAGGGTGGGTAGAATAAAGTAATCGAATGGGTTGATATTATTTCTTCTTAAAAGCTGAGTCTATTATCCTCATCTTGAGTTTAAATATGTAGGGTTGTTAAAAAAATGTAGAAATTGATCGCTACCCATTAGGGCTATGTTAAAAGGGGTACTCATCTTTTAAAATTGGATTTTAAAAATCCACATTTAGAGCACGCTTGATTTTCGGTTTCGTCTGGAATAAGTACCTCCACCAAATTTGGTCCAAATCAGAAGAAGTTAATTTCACTTATGCCATTTTTCTCGGTCACATGGTGCGGCATCAAAAATTCCGGAAAATGATGCTTCAGGTTAGGTATTAGGGTGCTTCAAAATTCCGATTTTGCTCAATTGATTCCAAATCAGGCCCTGATCATTATCCCAAAATTTCAGTTTATTTGATTAAGAATCACATACTGCACTGGCTCTTTGAAGTTAATAAGGGAATTACTATGGGGAAAGTACTCTTTGTACCCCTCGTCCTAGCTCTTCACCATAATGTTACACGGAAAGTTTACTACCTATACTTATTACCCAGTTGCAACTTTGCTGAAGGCCATATTTTAATTCCAGGGCTGTTACAAGATTTTCTAAATTTGATCCGCGAAATCCGCGATTTCTCAAAAGGAATCCGTGACTTCAAATACTAATTCACGACAAAAAAAAAACTGTTTTCATTGCCATTTCAAGCTAATTGCTTATATTTAGCATATTAGATTTTTGCCTTAGTGTTCTTTGAAGTACTTTCACATTTTAATTGAGAGCTTTCTATGCCTGTACCATCCTATGCCCAAGGAAGAAGAGAAAATTTCCAACCCAACAAATTAATAGACCGGACGGGAATAGAACTCAGTCACCTCCAGCATGGACTTGCTTTGTACTGCGCCTTTACCGACTGAGCTTAAGGAGTATCGTTTGTAACCTTTGAATTTAAAATAAAAGAATAACATTGTATCATCTTGAGTTATTTATGTATAGTTTAAATTCGGAGTTATTAGTGAACATAATAAAATACCCTTACATTATGAGATTTTATTGAATAAAACCGGCCTAGATTTGATGAAACATTATTTAAAAATAATGCACAAGATCAACCAAGACTGCAATAAGGTCTGTAGTTAGTATCGAAAAATGTCCAATCAGATTCAAAGTTTATATGTGGATCATTTAATGATCGATTTCCGAGTAATCCAGATGTTGCAGGTTCTTCAAATCGACCTGAAGTTCAGACAATTTGATCTACTAGATCAACCGAGATTGGGACAATGTCTTTAGTATCGAAATATTTCCAGACAGATGCACAGTGTCTATGTGGATCATGCATGAACTATTGCTATGTATACCAGATGTTATAAGATCTCTAAATCATTCTGTCTAAATTAACCATGACTGGGATAAAGTCTGTAGTATCGAAATATGTGCAAACAGATTCATAGTGTCTATATGGATAATGTTTAATTATTTCCACGTATACCAGACAATCTAGGTTCTCCAAATCGTCCTGCAGTTCAGATGATATGTTTTACTCTGGGGGCAAGACAGCTGTACTCAGAGTAAATATATTTGCAGTGAGTAAATTTGAGTTACTCATATTTACTCAAAAATGATCAAAGTAGTCTCGATTTTCTGATCAAAAAAAATATCGTCTGACAGCATATTTCGTTTGAAGCATCTGTTCAAATTGTGGACAAACGAAATGCTCTTGTGGTGGTTTGACTGCACGACGGTTTTATGAGGCTTGTCGTTCGTGTGTGGCTTGGATGCCTTTCAGGCGCCTTCCCTCGTTGGTGAGGATTGGCATGGCCTACGACGATACAGGAGTAACGGGAGTGACCCGTTCCAAAAGGGAAATGCTCCTTTTCGGTTACCTGAGGTACAACCTGAGATTTAAACTTCCTTCGTGGTCAATAGAATTGGTCCTTGATTGCTGATTGTGGTATATTATGTAGCTGCTGATTCTAGGCCAGATTAGGTCAGCTCTGACCAGCTTCGTGGAGTTTGTTAAGGTTCAACAATTAAATTTGTATTCTTAGAAGAAGTAAACAAATTATTTACCCTTTGTGGAACCTTAACATTAGTAATCATGCCATGGTCAACAATCATAAACAGTGCCGTACCGTTTTTGGAAACACGGCCCCATATGTTTATTTCCTCAATTTTGTGCCCAGAGCACAACATTTCATGAAATATCAAACGTCTAATCCCTAAAGAATGATCGAGTAATGTTATTAATCGAATGGAGCTTTCGTTGAATTTATAGACAGCATAACATGCAAAAATCATTTGTTACCAATAATGGGAAGGCACTGTATTCTTATCTTTTTGAAAATCGCGCAGCCTGTATGTGCTCTATTATTTTTATATATTTGTGTAAATTACGTTTTCATTGAGTTTCTGGAAGTTTTAAAAAATATAAGAATTGAATTTATTGAATTAATTTAGCCTAATCCGATCCTATCGAACCGCCTCAAAAGTCCCTACACAGAAATTCCAAGAAACGTCAACTTACTTTGCTTGACAGCATCGGTTTCAACATTATTTTCAATATAACAACCAGGTTGCTATGTGTATATAAGATATTGAGCAACGTGAGTAACTCAGAGTTACTCAAAATTAACTCAGGTTTTACTCATGATCGAAAGCTGTCTTGCCCCCAGGTTTTACTAGATCAACAAAGACTGGGATAATATCTGTAGTTTCGAAATATCGATTTGTAAATCTTAGAACATGGTTGGTTGGTTGGTTGTCTTTATTAAGGAGATTTTCAGCCATACGCTGGTTCATTTCCGGTCTTAGAACATTTGGCATACACGGAAATAGATTGGCCTGATCCACATAGACATTGCAAATTTGTTTGGGCATATTTCGATACTACAGATATTGAATTAGTCTTGAGTTATAGTAGAAAAATAATCTGATCTCCAGAATGATTTCAGAACCTATAGCATCTTGTATACGTAGCAATAGGTCAGGCAATATCCACATTGAACACTTTGAATCTGTTTGGACATATTTCTATACTACAGACATTATTGCAGTATTGGTTGATATAGTAGAACAAATCAACTGAACTCCAGGACGATTTGAAGAACCTAGAATATCCGGTATACATGGCAATTACTAGCATGTATACGATTCGTTTATGATTTGACAACGAAAAGTGCTATGTTCATATTGGAAATAAAATAAAAAAAAAAACATGAAAATGTCTCACGTTGGACAGACCCCAGGGATTTTTCCGTGTAAATCCGGTGTGACTTATGGAATTGAGATCATTTCTCGATTATCTGCATGGTGTTTGCTTTGAACCGGTAAAAAATTGAGAGCCAAATGAACAACAAAATTGACAGCAAAATAATCCGGGACGGAAAAGTTACAATGAATTCCACAATTTTTGTGACAGCGCATCAGTTCCTTTTTTTTTCGCGACATCATTTAATGTTTCCGTGATTTTCGCGACGGAAAGTTCAAATCCGCGACAAATCCGCGAAAATCGTGAAATCCACGAGATTCGCGAAATCCGCGCCTGTTGTAACAGCCCTGTAATTCGGAATCAGTTAAAGGGGATGGAGTAAAATAAATATATTGAACCACTCTATTAGGTTTATGTAGTTTAATTCAAATTTAAACAAAATGTTATATGTTGGAATGGTGTTGAAAAAACTTTTTAGACATAACAAATGATAAATATGAATTGAAAAAGTCAAAAGTTTCTGAATCAATACTTCACGTAAGAAAATGTATCATAATTTAAAAATAACAAAGTGGTTTATTACAGTTTGTGAGTCGAAGAATCAACTGGATATTTTTATAAGTAAAAAGCGTAATTACAGAAACAAAAAATATTGCATGCAATTCGACTAAACTTCCTGTAAAAGTTCTGTGTTATGTCCAATGTCCAGATAAAGGTCTGCGTAATCTGAGACATAAATAAATCAAATTCTAGGGAATAGTGATAGTTACTTCATTAAGGAAATTTTCAGTCGGAAACAGATTTGTCTCTTACAACTGGTTGTGACGACGAGTACCCCTCGGCGCGTAACGATCGCTAGTTACCAGAGGGTAGCTACGCGCATCGATGAGCATTGCCGAACCCGCTGTAACGAAGAAATGTCATCTTGGTTTGACACGGAAGATCAGGCGAAAGAAACAAAATGTAAACATTGACAGTAAAAAGTTCGTCAAGTGCAAGTCATGTTTTATGCAGGCAGTTAATTTAATTAAAACTAGTTATAATATTTAAAAGGTAAAAAAAATAGTAAATAAGTGTTTAGTAAAGTAAATAATAAAGTAAATGTTGAAGTTAATATTAATTACAATGATAAATTTGTTCCTTATAGCAGAACACCTAACCTA